GGAGCGATACCAGGCGGATTCCGCGTGCACTCGTGACCCGGGGGGCCCGTCTGCGACAAGAAACCTTCGAGCCGGTCTGCACGAGGTTGACCATGGATGCGCGGGGCCTGCCAAGGGATGCGAATCATCTCCAGTCGGACCTAGGCCAAAAGAGCATACCTCAAGAACATGAGACCCTCCGCCCGCCAAAACACACAGAGCATGCAAGGACACCCTCCCTAGGATGCACAAAAGCATCCAACAAGCACGGAGAACAGTAGGGTAACCTCCCCGAACCGACCTCGATGTTATACCTCGGTCCGACTGTACATCAGAACAGTCGGCGGTGGCTGCGTCGAGGAGCGTGCTCTGACCACTCCACCCCTCCGCTGGTGAGTGGAACATACCGCGAGGGCGCATTTGACATGGCCGCATTGTGATATGCTTCCTCCAGCTCTTCGTCCGCCCCCTCATCCTGCATCCTGCATGCTCATCCTCATGTCCTCCCCTCCTGCTTAATGCTCATCTTCCTCCCTTCCCTTCTCCCGCCTCCTTCCCCTTGCCTCGCGTCTTCGCCGCTGACCACCCACACAGACAGACACACAGACACACGCACACACACACACACACATACACACACACACACACACTCACACACACACGCACACACTCACAACATACACACAACACATACACATACAGACACACACACACAAACTGCGAGACAGGGAATTGGACCCCAAGATAACTCCGTCCCTGGGTAAGTCATCTAGAATAACGCTGGTCCAGGGCGACTCCGGGTTGGGCCCCTGAGGCACGAATGAGGCTTTCTTCTTTACCCCTGACCACTCGCGATGATTCGGCAGTGATTGGACGCCCGAGTTATCTGGGATAGCTCCCGTCTGGGGAAACTCCGGCTAGGGCCCCCGAGGCACGAACCAAAAGCTACCCCCGACCACCCACAACCCCGATGATTCTGTGCTTTTTGCACGGAATATCCGAAACCATCGCCTGGGGGATCGATCTTGGGGGACATGGGCATGCGGTGGACATGGATATCCCCCCCCCAGCCTCCGCAGGGCCCGAACACATCCGTATCCACAGCCTGCAGAGGTCACGGAAAATCGCCCCTCAAGGGACTCGCTATGGGTACATTGCTGGCCGCAGAGTGCTACCTCCGAGAGCCAGCGTCGCGCCGAACCGAGGAGGATGAGGAGGAGGAGGAGGAGGAGGAGGAGGAGGAGGAGGGCGGGGAGAGGAAGGAGAAGGACGCGGAGGAGGGAGGAGGATGAGGAGGAGGAGGAGGAGGAGGAGAGGAGGAGGAGGAGGAGGAGGAGGGGAAGGAGGAGGAGGAGGCCCCCCCCAGGGCAGCGCCTGCGAACCCGCATCTGGATGCGCCGCAGGCCGGGGCGGCCGGCGGGGCGGCCGGACAGTCGTCTCAGGGTGGTGCCTGCGCGTCGCTGGCGCCCTCCTCGTCCTCTTCCTCCCTCCCTCTCTCCTCCTCGTCTTCCTCCTCGTCCGCCTCATCGTCCTCCTCCTCGTCCTCCTCCTCCTCTCCTCATACTCCTCCTCCTCCCCTCCTCCCTTCCTCCTCCTCCCATCCTCCCGCCTCCCTCCTCCCTCCTACCCTCCTCCCTCCTCCCTCCTCCCTCCTCCCTCCTCCCCTCTTTCCCTCCTCCCTCCTCCCTCCTCCTCTTCCCTCCTCCCTCTCCCTCCCCCCTCCTCCCTCCTCCGTCCTCCCTCCTGCCGTCCCTCCCTCCTCCTCCTCCTCTCTCCTCCTCCTCCTCCCTCGCCTCCTCCTCCTCCTCCTTCCTCCTCCTCCTCCTCCTCACTCCTCCCCGTCTCCTCCTCGTCCTCCTCCGCCTCCGCCTCCTCCTCCTCCTCATCCTCCTCCTCCTCCGCCTCCTCCTCCTCCTCTCCTCCTCCTCCTCCTCCTCCTCCCCGTCTCCTCCTCGTTCTCGTCCCTCGTCCTCCTCCTCGTCTCCCCTCGTCCTCCTCCTCTCATAGGCTCCTCCTCCTCCTCCTCCCTCCTATCCCTCCTCCCTCCTCACGCCCCTCCTCCCTCCTCCCTCCTCCTCCGCACCTCCTCGCTCCTACCTGCTCCCTCCTCCCTCCCTGCTCCCTGACTCCTGTTTCCTTGCTCCCTGGCCCCTGCTCCCCGCTCCCTGCTCCCTGCTCCCCGCTCCGCGCTCCCTGCTCCCTGCTCCCTGCTCCCTGCTCCCTGCTCCCTGCTCCCTGCTCCCCGCTCCCTGCTCCCTGCTCCGTGCTCCCTACTCCCTGCTCTCCTCCCTCCTCCTCCCCCCTCCTCCTCCTCCGCCGCCTCCTCCTCCCTCTCATCCTCCTCCTCCTCCTCCTCCTCCTCCTCCTCCTCCTCCTCCTCCTGTTCCTGCTGCTGCTCCTCCTCCGCCTCCTCACTCCTCCTGCTCCGCCTCCTCCTCCTCCTGCTCCTCCTCCTCCTCCGCTCCTCCTCCTCTCCTCCTCCTCCTCCTCCTCCTCCTCCTCCTCCTCCTCCTCCTCCTCCTCCTCCTCCTCCTCCTCACTCCTCACTCCTCACTCCTCACTCCTCCTCACTCCTCCTCACTCCTCCTCATTCCTCCTCACTCCTCACTCCTCCTTCCCTCTTCCTCCTCCTCCTCCTCCTCCTCGTATTATTATTAGTATTAGTAGTATTAGTATTAGTATTAGCAGTATTATTAGTATTATTATTATTATTATTATTATTATTATTATTATTATTAGTATTATTATTATTATTATTATTATTAGTATTAGTAGTATTATTATTATTAGTATTCGTATTATTAGTAGTAGTAGTACTAGTATTGTTATTATGGTTATTCGTGTCAGTTTCTTACGATTCTGCGTAATGATATTATTATTATTATTATTCATACTAGTATGTTTCTTCGTCTTCGTGATAGCATTATTAATATTATTCGTCTTGGTGGTGTTATTCTCATTCGCATCATCATTATTATTAGTATCGTTAGTATTAATATAGTATTCGTATTAGTAGTATTCGTATTAGTCGTCTTCTTATCATTATTATTATCATTAATATTATTATTACTTATCTGATGTGTCTTCGTATGCTGATTATTATTATTAGTATTATTAGTATTATTATTGATATTATTCATACTAATATTAGTCTTCTTCGTCTTAATCATATGCTTCTTTGTCGTAGCACTATTCTGCTTATTATCAGCTATTCGTATCAGCATTACCATTATTCCTCTTATTCGTCCTTTTCCTCGTCCTCTTCGTAGCGTTGTTACTCTTAGTATTCATCTTCGTTTTCCTCGTCTTCCTCTTATTATTCCTCTTATTCCTCTTGCTATTCCTCTGTTTTTTTCCTCTTCTTTGTCATCATCGTCTTCCTCATCTGTTTCCTCTTCTTCGTCCTCTTCTTCCTCTTCTTCCTCCTCGTCCTCCTCTTCCTCCTCTTCTTGCCTCCTCCTCCTCCTGCTCCTCCTCCTCCTCCTCCTCCTCCTCCTCCTCCTCCTCTCTCCTCCCCCTCCCCCTCCTCCTCCTCCTCCTCCTCCTCCTCCTTTTCCTCCTCCTCCTCCGCCACCTCCTCCTCCTCCTCCTCCTCTCCTCCGCTCCTCCTCCTCCTCCTCCTCCTCCTCGTCCTCGTCCTCCTCCCTCCTCCCCCCTCCCCCCTCCCCCCTCCCCACCTCCCCCCTCCCCCCTCCCCCCTCCTCCCTCCTCCCTCCTCTCTCCTCCCTCCTCCCTCTTCCCTCCTCCTTCCTCCCGCCTCCCGCCCCCCTCCTCCCTCCCCCCTCCTCCCTCCTCCCTCCCCTCCTCCCTCCTCCCTCCCCCCTCTCCTCCTCCCTCCTCCCTCCACAATTACTTAATTACTTAATATGAATACTACTTTCCCTGTTCCCCTGATGACGTTTGGGGGTAGTCGACCTCACCCCACTGCTTTACTACACACCGGTTTCCCCGGAGTTGGGTTTTCGCTTGCATTTGTTCCAAAATGCTGCTCTCGCTGAGGCGCCGGCCTCATTTGCGGGCCCCGCTCGTTCCGAATCGTGCTCCCGCTGCAGCGCTGGCATCATTTCCGCCGGCGCCCGGGCTGCGCGCCCGAGCCGGCGCCCGTGCCGGCGAATCCGGCCGGCGCCGGAAAATCGAGTTCCGAGGCGGCGCCGAAAAAAGGCTATTCTGATACACATTTTTCTTTTGAAAATGCTGAATTTCTGCTTCCGGCGCCTGGAAGGCCTCCCGGACCGATTCCGACGCCCGGGCCGGCGCCCGAGCCGGCGCCCGGGCCCGACGCCCGAGCCGGCGCCCGGGCCGGCGCCCGGGCCGGGTCTGGAGACGGTTCCAGAGACGGTTCCGGCCGGCGCCGGAAAATCGAGTTCCGAGGCGGCGCCGAAAAATTAGGCCATTCCAATACACGTTTCTTTTGAAAATGCTGAATTCCGGCGCCCGGGAGGCCTCCTGGGCCGATTCCGGCGTGCTTCCGCTCGTTCCGAATCGTGCTCCCGCTGCAGCGCTGGCCTCATTTCCGCGCTTCTGCTCGTTTCGACTCGTGCTCCCGCTGCAGCGATGGCGTCATTTCCCGCGCCGTGCCATGGCATGCAATGCAGTGCCAGGCTGATACTACGCTTCGCGGTGCTTTTCTACGCTATGCCATGCCGTGCTCTACAATCTACCATGCATCGCGTACCCTTTCGGGATCATTGCCCTGCTCGACATCCGACTGTGCGAGTAGAGAGGGGACCTGCGCCATGCTAAGGGATGGGAGGGAGGGGTAGGATGACAGACCCTCACCCCTCCCCCCTCCCCCCCCCCCACTCCCCCCTCCCCCTCCCCCCGTCCCTCCCGCCCCTCCCGCCCCCCCTTCCGTCCCCCCGCCCCTCCCATCCCTCCCGTCCCTCCCTTCCCTCTCCCTCCCGTCCCTCCCGTCCCCTCCCGTCCTCCCGTCCTCCCGTCCTCCCGTCCCTCCGCCCTCCCCTCCCCCCCCGGCCGTCCCTGCCCGTCCCTCCCGTCCCTGCCGTCCCTGCCGCCCCTGCCGTCCCGCCGTCCCTGCCCCTGCCGTCCCTGCCGCCCCGGCCGTCCCCGCCGTCCCTGCCGCCCCTGCCGCCCCTGCCGTCCCCGCCGCCCCCGCCGTCCCCTGCCGCCCCGCCGTCCCGCCGCCCCCGCCGTCCCCGCCGCCCATGCCCTCCCTGCCGCCCCTGCCGTCCCTGCTCCCTGCTCCCTGCTCCCTGCTCCCTGCTCCCTCCGCCCTCCGCCCTCCACCCTCCCTCCTCTCTCATTCCTCCTTCCTTCTCCTCCTCCTCGTCCTCCTCCTCGTCCTCCTCCTCGTCCTCCTCCTCGTCCTCCTCCTCGTCCTCCTCCTCCTCCTCCTCCTCCTCCTCCTCCTCCTAGTCCCCTCCTCATCCTCCTCCCCCTCCTCCTCCTCCGCATCCCCCTCCCCCTCCTCCTCCTCCTCCTCCTCCTCCTCCTCCTCCTCCTCCTCCTCCTCCTCCTCCTCTCCCTCCTCCCTCCTCCCTCCTCCCTCCTCCCTCCCCCCTCACCCCTCCTCCCTCCTCCCGCTATTTCCGCTATTTGCCGCGCCTTGAAGGTCAGTGCCTTGCAGCGCCACTCGGCGGCCGAAGCCGCCGCCAGAGGAGAGGGGGGGAAGGCCCGTCCCGCCCAGGCGCGCGGGGCGGCGGAGGAGCGGGGACAGGCCTGGCGACCCTATGAGCAGAGGCGCCAAAGGACCCCGCCAGGAGGACCAGGGGAGAGCCTGCAAGGGCCTGGGGAGGAGAGGGGCGGGGTCCAAGGGCCAAGGCGGCAGTCCGAGGGCTCCCGAGAGAAGGGGGGGGGAGGGGCAACACTGGGAAGGAAGGGGGGAGGAGCCTCGGACTGCCTCGAGATGCCGAATTGGGATGTGGCCCGTCGCGCTGCCGCCCAGGATATCCGCCCCTGTCCAGCAGCTTATCCTTGCCTGGGCGGCAGCGCGCAGGCGCTGGGACCAGGTGGGCAGAAGGCCCACCTGGTGCGCCTCCCCCTAACCCCTCCAGAGCCAGAAGGCCAACGGTGAAGGATCCATGGGTCAGGCCTGGATGAGAGCGATATGGGGGCAAGGGGGAGGCACCAAATTACGGTCCCTAGGGGCCCCGTTGTCGCGGCCCCTTCAGGCGCCGTCGGCGGCTCACCGAGCCCCGAGATCCGCGCCCTCTCAGAACTCGCCGTTCTGGTGGTCCTACCCTGGCCCTTGTCGAGGACGGTGTTGGCGGCCCACTCCCTCGCCTCGTCAGCGAAGTCGGGGAAGCCCTCCTCCTCGATGGACACGTCGGTAGTCCACGCTCTTGAGGTGCCGCCTGATTATGTTGCCCTCGATCTCGTGATACTCGACTCAGTCGTGCTGGTCGAGGTAACTCTGGTTGACTCTGCAATGACCAACCCCGACGACTCGGCCTCCTCTCTGGGCCACTTCGGTGGTCGTTGGTCTTGTAGTAGAGCGTAGTACTGTCGCCCTCGAGCTTGTGGTACTCGACTCAGTCATGCTGGTCGCAATTGTTGTTGACTCTGCTCTGCCCATCCGTGTGGCCCTCGTTCCAGTCATGTATTGGACCCAGGCTCCTGGTACTCGTCTCAGCCGATGAGGTACTTGTCGTGCTGGTTACAGGTCGTTGGGGGTCGGCTTGTTGCTGGTAGGTGGAATAGATTGTGGGCGCACTCAGGCCTCCATGCACCGACTTCAAGTAGGGTTCATGGCGGCCCTACCTCGCCCCGCTATGGCTAGGGGTCACGGTGCCCTCGGTGGGGGCGAACCCCAGGCCCAGTGATTCTTGCTGTCGATGAGGAAGGTCAACGCTGCCCTATGCTTCGCCCTTGGGCGCTCGGGAGCTCCGTCTCCGCCATGGGAATGGTGGGGGTGGCGAGCTAGGGCGGACCGCGGGGGCGCGGGCAGTACTCGTCCTGCCCCCCCCCCTGCCCCTCACCATCCCCCCTGGTAGGCGCGGGCAGTCCTCGTCCTGCCCCCCCACCCTTCGAGCCCGTCTCGAAGTTTGATCCTTGCCCCACCAGGGCAGCGTTGACTCGTACTTGGTGCAATTGGGGTAGTCTGGCTGGTACCTCTGAGCCCTGGCTGAACGGCGGCCGTGTCCGTCACTGCTGCAAAACGTGGCGACGTGTGCCTGGGGTGTTCCCTCGCATTCGGGCTTCCCCAGGACTTGCGTCCTGACGGCTTGTGCAAAACTTGGCGACGTAGCCTGAGGTATTCACTCGCACTCGGGGCTTCCTCAGGACTTGCGTTCTGATCCTTTTGTACTTGTCGTCAGGGCACTTCGTCGTGATCCGCGTCGTCAGCCTGTGCCCGAACAGCTCCTGTCGAGTTGGTGGTCCTGCCCATTGCCTTATCGGGTCGGTCCTGCAGGGCCCACTCCCTTGCCTCTTCCAACCAGTTCGGTGGGCCCCCTCGCCTCGCTGGGCCACGATGGTAGTCCTGACCCATCTCCCTGGTCTTGTAACGGTCGAGCGGCTGGAAGAAGTGGGCCACGCCGTCGTCGATGTGCCACCCGTGGACGTCGCTAGGCGACTCGCCAAAGCGCCACCTCATCTGCTTCGCCAGTGCGGTCGCGATGGCCTGGCACATCCTGTTCGGGTACTCCTTGGCCGCCGCGGTGCGCCACTGGCCGTCGTCGTTGATGCCTGCCAGCTCCGCGTGGTAGGAGGCCGTGTGAAAGCACCTCCCGCCTCCAGGCAATCTGCTGATTTCTGCTCGGAGGGTTGGTAGGGATACCGCCAGCAGGCTTGTGGACTTCCTCGAACGCGCTCCACAGGTGCACTGGTCGAATGTGATCAGCTCGACTCCCTGCTGGTTCAGGAGGTGGCGCGTCTCGGGGAGCTTCCAGGAGCTGGCGAAGTGCTCCTCGGTGGGCTCGCACGGGTGCTCGAGCATGCCTGGGACTCCAAGGTTGAGGCACATGTACATGAGCTCCAGCTGTGTCCTGTAAAGGCGGTTGCCTATCGCTACTTGCTCCATCTCTGGACGGGAAAGGTAGCGAAGGCCCCACAAGCTGTTGCTGCTCCTTAAGGGTCTTGGTGGGCGACCCCTGCAGTCATTGGGGGGCAGGGGGCGCGCTCGGCTCCAGGTCTCGCACGGCGGTCCGCCGGTGACTCCTGCAATCCTCCCTGCTTGTGCCATGCCTCGCCACTTGTTGACTGCGACTTCTGATGTCAGGTCGCCGAAGGTCGGGTCGCTGGCGATGTCCAGGCTGAGCATGTGTATGTCGCAAGAAGCCCGACTGCTGAGACGGTCGAACCAATCCTGAACATCGCCCTCTCGGCGACGGCCGCTGAATAAATGCAGCACGTATAGCGTCCGAGCTGGCCTGGGCCTGGGTACAGCAGCTGGCGGCGGTGGTGGCTCCTCGATGAAGGGGAGCTCTAGGCTCTCGTAGTGGCCGCCGTTGCTGTCGTCGCTGTCCTCGTCCGTATGTATTTCTGGAGGACGAGCAGGGACTGCAGGCTTCTCTGCCCAGTCGATGGGCCTGCCCGCCCTTCTGTTCGCCTGCTGCTGGTCGCGCACCACTTGCTGGTTGTGCTGCAGCTCGGCTTTGCTAAGGATTGCTGGACGTGTCTTTCGCCAGTGTCGAGCGCACCTGCGCACTCTCAGCAAGTGCTTGACCAGCCTGTTTGTAGTGTGGTAATCCATGCCGCATCCGTAGCAGACCGAACCAGTTGCCCACGAGATAGGATGACCCGACGAGGTGTGGTCCTTGGTGATGTGTGCTCGTAGCACTGCTGCGCTGGCTTCAGTACGTCCGCAAGGGTAGCATAGGTACTTGCGCTGCTGCTCGAAGTGCTGGTCTGGGAAGGGCGAGATGGCTTCCGTGTTGGTCCACCGTTGGAGTCGTATCCGCCATCGAGCTTGGTCGTCGTGATCGTACTGGCGGGCTTTGCCACGTTGGCAAGCTTTCTTTACTGCGCTGAGGTAGCTTTGGTTGTCGTTCCTGGCCCAGTCCTTCCAGTCCTCGAGCGTGTATGCTCCACCACGCTCGTCAGGTCCTGTGTGGTCGCGGACCCAGTCTAAGTCGCGGCGGAGCAGTGCCACCCAGCCGTAACTACCATCCCATGCTTGGCTAAGTAGTCGGCGGAGGTGAAGGGGTCCCCGTTTGAGGCATCTACCAAATAGTCGTAGCCGCTCAAGTCGTAGGACTATCTCTGGGGGCAACTTGTCGACCCCTTCGAGAATCTGGGTGTTCGTGACCTCTTTTTTCTGTCGTACTTTCCAAGTGATCCTTTGCGCGGCAGCGTAGTTCACGATATACTGGTTGTTGAAATTCCTGGCCTGGCCTGCTGTGAGCTCAGGCCAGGTAGACGCATTGTATAGTAGCTGGGATAGCACCACACTGTCGGCTAGGTAGGCCTTGTCTTTGATGGCCAGCTCTGAGCGACGGTGGACTTCGCGATGGAGAGGCCTCGTGGATGTCGCTGCAGTGGCTACCTTCACTGCGACATCCACCCCAGGGGATGCATTGTCGGTCACGTAGGTCCCGAGGAGCTTGTGGTAACGAACAACCTCGACGTAGCTCTCTGCGAAGGGGGCCTCGATCCTCGGCACTCCATTGGAATAGAAGCTGGCCCGAGCTTGCCGGCTCCCACGCCCACTGAAGTCGATCATCACCTTGGTCTTGGTGAGCTGCAGCTGGAGGCCGAAGGTGCTGGCGGCGCAGTAGACGGCTTCGCAGAACCCCGTGGCCTCATACTGAATTTGGTCGGGGCTGGTGAACACGTGCATGCCCGTTAGGTCGTCGACGAACGATAGGCCGTGAGGTTCATGCTCCTGGAGTGGCCCATCTGTGGGGTCGGTGTCGCATGCGAAGCTGCTGTCAAGGGGCTTGCCCTGGGGTCGTAGCCCTCGCTGCGCAAGGTAGCTGTCAATCATGCGGTGGACTCGGCCGAAGAGCAGGTTGAAGTCCGCGTCGGCCAGGGGCACGCCAGGCCTCGTGCCCTTGTGCGGCGCCATGAGGTTCTGGGAGAACCTGTGCGATGTCCACCTGTTGCGATAACCTTCTGCAATGAGGGCAGCCAGGTGGGAGCCGTCCAACACTGTGTCGAGTATCCCTGGGTTGGCCATGAGGTGCTCCAGTTGTGGCTGGGCCCACAGGGGAACCTCGAGGTTTTCTAGCACCTCCTTGACCTCGTCCTCCTCGCCTGGGATGCCATGGACCAGCTGGACTACAACCGAGTAGAAGGCCTCCTTTAAGTCGTAGCAGCTAATCATGGAGCACTTCCCTTGGGCCTGACTTCTCTCTGCGAAGAGGCGCTGCTAGGACCGCCATGTCTGCCCCTCGCTTGGGCCGGCCGCCAACCTGGATGTCCTCCAGCGCTATGGCGAGGGTAGTGTTGAGCATGGCCCTGAGGTATTTATGGTGGTGCTTGCCCAGGACGTTGTTTAAGAGGATCTCGCGGTAGGCTTGGAGGTACCGTGGGTCGCCTTTTCCTTTTGGAATTGCGACCAGGTCCCCACCCTTGAAGCTCAGCGGCTCCCGTACGGTGGTCGCCACCTTGGTGAAGAGGGGGTGCAGTAGCCTTGCTGCCTCTGTAGGAGCCGCCCTGAGGACAGCGTTCGTGAGCCCGTCAGGGCCTCCTTGCGCCCCAGCCTTGGCCGCAGCGAACTGGGCCTGGCAGACGGCCAGGGACATCGCCATGGAGAGATCCAGCATGCCGTCGAAGGGCCTGGTCTTGCTGTCGTGATTGTACTTGTTGGCGAGATCATCCGCTGTCACGATCTTGCCCGCCTGTATCTTCGCGAAATGGTTGAGCTCCTGGTCCGCCATGTCCTGGGAGTTGTGGATCACCTCTCCATCCTTGTCGAGCCGCATCGGCTTTCCTGCTGGGAACTTCGCCTTCCTCCCGCCATACCTTAGTAGGTCGCGGTAGGCCTTCCACTGGGCCGCAGCGTCGTTCGCAGCGGAGGCGGAGGACGCAGTTGAGGCAAGCCGACTGAGGAATGCACTACGGTCCTTCTCGACGGCCGAGGCAACGAGGGGCCCAGACCTGGTGAGGAAGGAAAGGATGGCCATGGCGTAGACCATGGGCGAGATCGTCCAGTTCAGGAGGAGGTGCGCGTAGTCCTGGATGTCGTGGATGGTGCCATCGTCGTCGCCACGCTCTCTGCTCCACAGGGACAGTGAGTTCCCGACTTCGCCTCCAAGAAGAGAGTGGGCGTGGGCTACTAGTCGTCCAGGTCGGTCGTCATGGGCTTCTCCTCTGAGCACTGCGCGGTGGACTCGGAGTGTGAGGCGCCTGGCTCGGATTAGGCCCATTGTAGTCTTGGTGACGTAGGGCTTCCTCGCTGCCTTGACGGCCTTGCCGAAGGCCTGGATGGCCGCGTCGTTGACGACCCTGGTGACCTCCCCGCAGTGGGTGTTGACGTCCACCTCCCAGGGGATGATCGGGGCCTGCTTGAGAATCTCCTTGAAGCTGGCCTTGGCGACGTCGTTGTTCAAGTTGGTCAGGTCGGGCCTCGGTCCTGAGGCCTTGGTGGTCTTGCAGACGGCCCACTTGAGGGTGGCGAGTACTGGTATGTGGTATTGTGCAGCTGTGCCTCGGTCCAGACCTGGCTCCGTGCTGCAGCTCGCAACGTACGGGGCGATCGAGGAGCCCAGCAGGATGTAGTCTATCCTGTGGTGCTGCCCCTTCGATCCGACATGCGTAAATGAGTTGTTGCCTGGATCCCTCGTGGTGTTGATGACCTCCATGTTGGTGTCGGCAGCGAAGCTGATGATGTGCTTGCCGTTGCCGTTGGTCGCTTCTGGGAACCCACTGGTGCCAACTCCTGGGGACTCGTAGTCGCCAAGACGCCCGTTCAGGTCCCCCATGAAGATGTCCACGCGGTACTTGGCAGACAATCGCTGAGCAGACTCCCAGAATTCTCTCTTCTCAGCCGCGTGGGAGTCTTCGTGGGGTGCATATGCTGAGGCGATGACCATGTCTGTGCCTGCAACGCGGGTCTTGATGATCAAGAGCCTGTCGTGCTGGTGGAGGACGAGGGTGTCTTTGGCACTTAGGTACTTCGCTGCCCCACTCGCGCTGATTGGCTTGGAGACGTTGAGCCAGATGTCGCATCCTCTGTTCTGCTGCGTGTGGCCTGAGGAGTAGCAAACATATTCTCCTACGTTGCGGACGTCTCCTTCGTTCTGCGTCTCCTGGAGGGCCACGACGTGCAGGCCCATGTCAGCAAACTGTGCTGCTAGGTGCGTGACCTTGGAGAGGCTCTGCTTGCTTTTGCCGGCCGCCTTGCCTTTGCCCGACTTGAAGCTGACGGCGGCCTTGAGTGATCTGCAGTTGTAGGTGCACAAATTCACGTCGAGGTCGGCCTTGATGGTGGTGGTGCTGATGGGCCTCTGGATCGCACCTGGGGCTGCCTGCGGCTGAGTGGCCTCGATGATGAAGTCTTGGTTCCGCAAGGGAGGGTATGCGGCCTTGACCGCATCTGGCTCTGAGCGTAACCATTCCCAGGAAAGGAACTTGTTGTGAGCGATCGCCTGCACTGCTGCAATGTTCGGGTCCATCAGGTCGCTGGCCGAAGCTTGATCTGCTATCCCATCTGCGAGCTCGTTCCAAGGGTGCCCAATGTGCGAGTTAATGTGGTGCCACTGAGTAGGTCGGGCTTGTTGGAGGAGGCCAGCAAGCGTGCGAATGGCGGCCCCCAACCTCGGATGTACGTGGCATTGGGCTTCACCTTTGGCCAGGTTGATAACGTTGAGGGCATCGGGCGTGACCTCGATGGGCGCGGCGGTGTCTTGACCAAGGGCCCACATTAGTGCCCAAAGTACTGCCGTGAGCTCAGCTGTGTATGCCGTCACCTTCTCGTTGTTTGCCATGTCGTCTAAAGACTCGGTGACCTTGCCAGCAATGAAACCCCGAAAACCAAACGGGCCTCGTGAGTTGCGCCCGTCGTCGTACTCGTCGACAATAACTACTGCCCAGGCGGCTGTATGTGGGATGCCGTTGTAGCTGCCGTCCGTGTAGATGTGTGTCCGCCTGGTCGGCAGCTCGCGTGAAGGGCGCATCTCCAGCGCCATCCTTGCCATGTTGTGCAGGGTCGTAGTGTCGACGTCGGCGCAGACGTTGACGCGGCCTCGGCCACGAAGGGTCTCGGCTACTGGGTCTTGGCTGAGAACTGGCAGCACTGCAGTTTGGCCTCTTTCTGGTGCTGCCGTGGTGGGGAGCTGCCGTTGCCTTCGGCCACGCCTGGCCCTCTCAGCACTGACGTACTCGGGGGAGTACTCGATGTCGTCGTCTGGCGCCAGTTCCATGCCCTGTAGAGTGGGACCTTGTGCAGTGGTAATGCGGGCTGGAGGTGGCTGTGATGTCGCGGAGCGGGTAGGCGGGGCTAGAGGTATGGCCCCAGCCTGAGGCGCACTCCGCTTCACGGGTGGTAGTGATGGCATTTGGCTCCCCTCATCGTAGTTCAAGTTGTCCGATCCAGCCCGCGCGGCCTGACTGAACAGGGGCTCGCGTGATTGGGCGTGGAGCATGCTGTCACGTAGACGATAAGGTTCGCCATCCAGGGCGTCTGGGTGATTGGTAGCACCCGTGCCGTGGTGGGAGCGCGCTGATGCCGAGGGGAGCGTTGGCTTCCACCTGTTTGGCCGTGGTGAGCTGTTTGGGTCCGCCGGGACTGGGGCCACTGGTGATGCTGGGTGAGCTGCTGGGTCCGTCGGGTCTGGATCCACCACCAGGGCATGGTACTTGTTGTGGGTGCTGCTGTTGTCCCGACGACTGTGGCTCTCCGCAGCGCGCCGTGCGCGGCGTGCACGCCGCTGGGCTGATCGGAAGGCTGCGACTGCGCGCGCTTGCTTCCACTCCTCGTAGCATTGCTCCATGCCGTCCTCAGCCTCGCTGCCAGTCGAGTTTTGTCCGTCGAGAAAGGCCCTTTCCACGTTTTCGATCTCGTGGACTCGGATGGCGGAGGGGGACACGCTGAGTGCAAGGGCAGCCGGCAACGCATCCTTGCGGCCATCTTGGTGGCTTGTGACCTGAAGTGCTGACAGATTGGCGGATGCATCACTCCTCCCTGGTAGTGTGCCTCCTTGGTTGCCGCCTAGCGCCCCTCGGGACGCGGCGGGCGGCGGCCCTCGTGTCGGCCGTGGAGGTGTCACGTTGGCCCCTCGAGACCCAGGTGACTGATACCGCTGTTGTTGCTGGCTGCTGCGATTGGGAGTGGCCCTCCCACTGCCAATCCCAGTTGCGGTAGCACGTCTGCTTGGAGTCGTGGCCCCTCGGGACCCTGGACTCCTGGGAGTATCTGATCTGGTGTGTGAGACTGTCGCAATCTCTGCTGGTCTTTGTGTTACTAGACGGCTGTCGCAAATGACCCCAGGGCCCGCCGTGCTTTCAGGCCTCTGGTGGTGGGTAGGTCGAGCATCGTAGTGGAGGACCCCACTGCAGTGCTGCGGGCTTTGGGCCCCAGCTGCTCTCCCCAATGCTGCCCAGGAGATCGATGCTGTCGAACTGATCGGAGAGCGTGAAGAAAGCCCACATCCGTCGTGCTCTGCCCTGTTGGACTCATCGGCCGCCTCCTGGCAGTGAATTCTGTCATGCATGACCTGAAGCCTGGCGGCGCTGCTAGGCCCCCTCCCCCCCTCGGGGGGGGTCCAGCGGGCGCTGCTGCTGCCTGCTCCTCGGCTCCAGGAGTTGCAGGAGGGGAGGGGGTTGCTGTGCCCCTTGTCTCGTCCCTCCTGCGGGCCACTCGGCCACGAAAACGTGCTATGCCTGACTCTCCAGAGTCTACCCGCTGACCCTTGTGGGCCTGGCTGATGTCTTCTCCTGGAAATGCGGGCGCGGGTCCAAACGCCTCTTCGAGGGCTGCAGCTGCGGCGGCGGCTGAGGTGTGCTGGCGCGTTAGGATGTCGATGCCCTCGTACTGCCTCTCGATGCTGGCTGCTGCCGCCTCCGCGTTCTGCTGGGATGCAGGGGGAGGGGTCAATACGAAGCTGTCGGCTCCCTCTCCACCTCCATGGCCGCGCTGCTCATCATGCCCGAATGGAACTGTGGGCGTGAGTGACCTCTCGCTGAGTGGCGCTGGCGATGCTGGGATGAAGATCACCTGAGATGCTGTCGGAGTAGGAGGGTCGCCTTGCTCTGCTGGTACCGAGCTAGCCCTTGACGTGGATGCCAGGTCTGTGTCTGCCTCGTGCTGCGTGATTCCCCTCATCTCCTCACCCTCCTCGAGTGCGGGGTGATCCTGGCTCCAGGGCGGCCAGCTGGCGGGGTAGATCATCGGCGCGTGCTCCGAGCCGTCGTCCTCCGCTTGGGAGTCCTGCGCGCCCACAGTGCCGAACTGGGTCAAGGGGGCCTCCTCGTAGTAGCGCCTTTGGATCTCCTCCGCCTCGCGGTCCCTCGCTACGGACTCCAGCTCCTCCTCCATCTGTACGGCTTCCCATTGTGCTTTCTCCTCAACATCTTGTCTGCGCAAATCATCTTGTTCGCGCTCGTATCTTTCTGCCTCCTCATGCGGGTCTGGCCTGTCGGGGCTCCTGGACCTGTCACGCTCTATGAGGGGTACATCGCATTCGTCGGTCTGGCGGGCTGCTGATCTGGCTGACCTGGTTGATGCTGGCCTCCGAGGCGAGGAGCTGCTCTGCCTACGGCCCCTGTTGGCTGGGCGCTCCTCGGCTGCACCAGTTTGGAGATTGGCCGCAACGGGGGGCTCCGCTGGGGCGGTCGCTGCCTCGGCTGCTCATCTGGTTTTCTCGAAGAGGTCGGCGGCCTCCTGGTAGTCGTCCATGGACTCTTGGGACGTTGGGAGGTGCCCCCCTTGGACGAGGTGATGAGCTGCCCTCTTGGTGAAGTCGTAGCCCTCCTGCCCGTATTGCCTCATCTCGGCGCACAGGCTGACCATGGCCTTGCGTTCACGTTCCCTGCTGGCTGCAATGGCTTCCAGGCTCTGCATTCTCAGCTTTAACTCCTCTGTCTCCGACGCGCCCTGCTGCTCCTTCTTTGCGATGGCGTCGAGCTCGGTGTGTAGCGTGCGGGAGCGCTGGAGGCTTTCTTGCAGCGCGAGGTGAATGGCCTCCTCCCTGCCCGTCCTCTGCTGGCTGGCAAAGTCTTCCATGGCGGAGGCCTCCTCCATGCTGGCGATCCTGAAGGTGAGGGCTTGGGCGAGCTCCTCCTCCAGCGCCTGCTCCTGCACCTCTGCGTTGGACCTTTGCTCGCTCAGCTGCACCGCGTAGCTGCTCAGTTCCTGTCGCAGGCTCTCTGTGTGCAGCTGCAAGTCATGTGCGTTCGCTTCTTCTATCATGACTTGGCGGGTGAGACTCGACCGTATTCGCTCAGCACTGCCTTCGAGCTCTGCCCGCATTGCCTCCTTGTCCTTCAGGCTGGCCTTCGCAATCTCCTCCTCCTCTGCCCTAGTCCTTAGCAGGGCGAACTGCAATGCCTGCACCTCGTGCGGGATCTGCCGCTCCTCGTTGGTGCTTCTCAGCTCCGCTGCTCGTGGTATGCAACCTGTACTGCACGCTGCGCAGCGCCCGCCCCAAGCTTGGAGTACTGCTGGAGCTCGTGTATGCGGGCTTCAGCTGCCTCGAGCTCGCTTTTGGTCTGCTTGAGCCGATCCTGCTGCCGTGCTGCTGTCTGGACGATCCCTTGCAGCCTGGCCGCTTCTGCCGGCGGGGGGGCCCCTTTTCCCTTGGCATTGGCAACCACTTGGGCCTGGGCAATTGCCTGGGCCCTGGCTGGTTCGGCGGCAGCTTCAAGCTCAAGGGCGTGGTTCTTTTTGGCCTCCTGGAGCTTCTCTTCCATGACCAGCTCCTGCCTGGTGAGCTGCTGCTTGAGAGTGCCAGCTGTAGCTGTCGCTTGGGCGCTCTCGTGCTGGGCCTGTCGCAATGCCTCTTGCGCCTCGGCTCTTGCCCGCAGCAGGTCTTGGTAGACCCTGTCCTGGGGCTGCGGCTGCGCTCGGTACTCCGCTCGGGCATACTCAAGCTGCTCTTGCAGGTGATTTGCACGCTGGGTCGCCGCTTCGGCCTCTGCCTTGGCTTGACTGAAGGCTGCGCCATGGCTGATTATCCTGGCCTCCATCTGCGTCGCGAACTCGAGCTGCTCGGCTTGTTGCTTCTTGATCTCGTGGCGGAGAGCCTTGTGTTGCTGCTGCTGCTGCTGCTGGGCTGCGCTCTCCGCTGCGGTGATGCGCTGCAGCTGCTCTGACTCCTCCTTGAGTGCCAGCCTGAGCTTCGCCTGCTCGGCGTTGCGGCGGAGTGCCTGCTCTCGGGCGACCCTCCTGACTTCCGCCATCTCGACAGCAAGCTCCTGCTCGGCTTCGGCATGGCGCTGCTGCTGGTGGGCCCGCTCCGCATTCGCCTTAGCCACCTGATCGGCGAAGCCTCTGGTTGCGCTGCCTGCCGAGCTGGCTCTTGAGCGTGGCGAGCGCCCCACCACTCCCGCTGGCCAAGCTGGAAATCCGTCACCAGGTGCTTCGCTGTTCAGGCGCCTATCGATCACGGCCTTGTGGAAGGTATCCCAGCTCGGCGCCAAGCCAAACCCGTCCGTGTCCCAGTCGCCCTCGTCGTCCGCCGCGCCGCCGTCGGCGAGCACGGCCCTCGCGTCGGCGATGTTGGACTCGAGCTGCCTCAACTCCTGCTGCTTGGCCTTGAGGTCGTCCCGCAGCTCGTTCGTCTTGGCCTCGAGGGCGACGACTTCGAGTTTGACGGCCTTGCGCCTCTTGCTGAGCACCTGCAGCTGGTCATTCGGCCTCCTCGTGACCAGCTTCTGGTATTTGATGACCGAGATTTCCATCAACTGCTCCTTCGTGCTGTCGCCCGCGGCCTGCTTGGCGACGACCAGGTCGCCGAGCTTCCTCAGCCTCTGGTCAGCGCTTCTCAGAAACTTCTGGATGCCTGCGCGGTCGGCTGGGGGCGCCTGCCACTTTGGGTGGGAGGTGGCCTCGTCCAGCGTGCAGGCTGCCACAGAGTCAATGACTTTTTGAGCCCTCTGGTCCGCTTTGCTGGAGCTGGCCTGGCCGCCTTTGCCCGCCCTGGGCTGCTGCTGCAGCTGCAGCTGCTGCTGCTGCTGCTGCTGCTGCTGCTGCCATGGGGGCTGGCTGGGCTGCTGCTGCTGCTGCTGCTGCGGTTGCCATTGGCGAGGGCTGGCCTGGCCAGAGCGCCGCGGCCGTGATAGCGGTCTGCGCCAGGGCGGGTCCTCGCCTGCTGGCTCCGCATGCCACTGCTGTTCTTGCCATCCAGCGCCCTGCCACCTCTCCTGGCGCCAAGGGGGCGCTGCTGGCGGCGCTGCTCCTTCCTGGGCGTGGCCCTTGCCGCCTCGGCCACCGCTGCCTCTGCCCTTCCCGTCTCGTGCCATCGCTGGCTGGGCAGAGTGGTGGGCGGCCAGGCGCTCGGCCGCCGCCCGCAGGCGGAGCAGGAGCCTGTCCTGGGCTCTCTGCTGCCGCTCACGGCGGTGTGCAGCGCCCTCTGGACCTCCTCCTCGGCGATGTGGCGGCGTCCCGCCGGTGGGCCGCAGCGCGGCCGCGAGCGCCGCGGCCTGCGGCAGGGGACAGGGAGGCACGGGTGGCCCCCTGCCGCAGAGGATGGCGCGCGGCGCGCGTGAGCCCGGCCTCGGGGGCTGGCCGATGCGCGATGCGCCCTGCCACCGCGATCGATCGGGCGGCAGGCGCCGACCGACCCCGATGGATCGATCGGGATCGGCTGGCCCGCAAGAGGCCACATGGCTTCTCCCTCCTCCCTCCTCATCCTCCCCTCTCCCTCTCTGTGTCTGCTTCTTCTTCACCTCCTCCTCCTCATCATCCTCCCCCTCCCCATCCTCTTCCTCCTCCTCCTCCTCCTCCCCCTCCTCATCCTCCTTCTCTTAGTCCTTCTCCACTTCTTCGTAGTATGTTCATTAGTAATATTATTAGTCGCATTCGTATTTGCATTTGCATTAGTAATCGTAGTGTTCTTCTTAATATCTATATTACTAGTAATGTTAATAGTATTCGTATCAGTAGTAAAAATAGTATTAATATTGTTAGTACTATGAGTATTAGTAGTATTGGTATTGCTATTCTGATACAAATAAGTATCATTATTATGAATACTAGACGTAATAGTATTATTCATATTAATGTTACTAGTATTAGTATTAGTATCATTATTATTCTTAGTCGTATTATTACTATTGGTCGTCTTATTAGTTTCCTTATGAGTGTTATCATTCGTATTATTAGTATTGGTCTTCTTCCTTCTTCAGAACATCGGTATTATTATTATTATTCCTCCTCCTCCTCCTCCTCCCTTCCTCCGCCTCCTCCTCCCCCTCCCCCTCCTCCCTCCTCCCTCCTCTGTCCCCCTGTGTCTCTCCGCCAGCAGCGAGACACAAACCCGACCCCGAAATCCTACAAAAAACAGCGCTCAGGCTGGGGCAACGCATAGGGCGGGAACGGCCCAGGGGAGACAACGACGATCTTGGATCGGCCACACAGCGAAGACAGTCCTGCGACGGGCCCCCCCCCCCAGCGACCACGCGCCTTCCCGAGCCCGGTGGGCTACCCTGCCACTCCCAATGCGCGCGACCAGTAGGCGATTGGGGAAAGGAGGAGGAGGAGGAGGAGGAGGAGGAGGAGGAGGAGGAGGGGGAGGAGGGGGATGGGGAGGAGGAGGAGGTGGAGGGAGGAGGAGGAGGAGGAGGAGGAGGAGGGAGGAGGAGGAGGAGGAGGAGGAGGAGAGGGTGGAGGTGGAGGTGGAGGTGGGAGGTGGTGGAGGAGGAGGAGGAGGGTCGACGCACCCCCGCTGAGCGCATGCCCCGCTGGCAGTGACCCTGGCTGTGAAGGGGGCGCGAGACCCTGGAGCGGACGCGAGGGCAGAAGGAGGATTGGCCGTCCCAGGTATTCAGAGGAGGAAAAGGTACCCATACCGCTACCTTTGGGCCTCGTGGGAGGCCCTCGTCGCCACCGCTGGAGTCGCTTCGAAATCCTGGTCAGAACGCACCCTGTGAGAGGTCGGGGGAGTAGCGGTATCGGTACCTTTCGGATTCCCCAGGTATCCGGGAGAACTCCAGCCTGGGGAAACTCTGACTTGAGCACCCGAGGCACGAACCAGGGGCTACCCCTGACCTCGGAGGCGGCCAAGAGGGGGGTGTCCAAGAGGGGGGGGTGCAAATCATGGCTGGCGGCATGTGCGCGGCCCCAGGGGGGGCCAGGGAACGTATTGAAACAAGAAGAGGCGCCATGAGATCTGAGGAAATATCATGGCCCACGCCATGACATCCACCCCCCTCTAGCCATCCCCCCCCTCTTTGCCGCCCCCGATGACCACCTCTGGGCCCGATGACCAGGGGAAGCTTGGACGCCCGAGTCATCCTGGACCGCTCCAGTCCAGGGCAACTCCGGCCTGGGCCCCCGAAGCACGCATCATCAGACCCCCGACGTCGTGCACTTGTCGC